GAACATTATTTTATTTTAGTAGAAGATCGTTCAATAGTGGGTGATATAATAAACGAATAGAAGCATCACTCAACATTTTATTCTTAAATATGTTTGAGTTATTTCAAAAGTCATTACAATTTACTCAAATGTCACTCCTAACCGAAAATTTTAATTATTCAAATAAATGTAGTGTAAAATTTTCGAACCTACCACGAGTTTATCCTCAGCATCAGTATTTTACATGAAAAATAAAATGGTTTACTACAATGAGTTACGGGACAAAATTTGGTATATATGTGGCCAACAGAATTTGTTCATTGAATAACTAGTTAAAATGCAGTTTCTTAGCTAAGCATAAAGCAGTGTACTCCAGGGTCAGTCAGTGAGTTTAGCGTAAATGTAACCCTCACGTCCTGGCTTCTTCAGTTGGCGTAAGTGGAACAGAGTTCAGAAACGTAGGATAGTTGTTGAATTTCGATAATTTAAATTTTTAAGAAATTACTAAACTTTCTGCCCCTAATTTTATAAAAACATGCTCTGACTAGTACAAGAGTCAAGGAAATTATCAAAATGACTGATATACAGAGATATTTTGATTTGAACAATCTTCCTATGTGTAATTGCAGATTGTAGTGATCTATTAACAGATTCTTCAAAATTTTCGCGTCGAATTTTTCGACATATAGAATTATATTTGATAAACTTAACCTTCTGTAAAATACATAGCTGAAAGGTTTTACCAATATAAAGTATTAATTTAGTGTTCCGTTATGTCTAACACTATTGGGATTGAGAAATGTTTAACTGGCTCGTCTGATACTGAACTCCGAATCCGACGACATGTAGTACAAACAAAGATTGGTAATAAGAATTTAATTGACTGCCAAATAAATCAAAATGATATATGCATGCTTTTATATGATTTTCGTACAATCAGATGAACGATCAGATTTGTACAATGTGATTGAGTAACAATTAACATCAATTGATTAACTGCTTATTATATGAATACATAATTACTGTATCAATATTGATCAAATTTCACATTGACTGAATTTTCATCTTTTGGTTCTGTTATATCATCTTCCTCTTCTCAGAATAGGTTTGACTGAAAGTTTTGAAATGAGTGCACATGATCACTGTTTCTTGAAGACTATGTAACATCTAACACAGCTGAATGTTAAAACTGGGTGCATATAATTTATCATGAATTTTTGAGATACTTTGTTGCTAACATGTTTATATAAATTAAAAGTAACTCAATATTGAAGACTGATAACATGATTATTAAATAAATAAGCAACATGTAATAGTGCACCAAAGGTACTTGTAACAATCAAAAACAGGATGAATATTTATAGGCTGATCACTAATAGAATGAATGCTTATAGCATAACCACTAGTAGCATTAGCATTTATAACATTCACACTAACAGAACGAATATTTGACCAATGAGACTCTTGACAAAGTTTACTTAAAATGAATGTACCATCAGAAGCAGTTTCAAATGGCATTCAATAATATAATCATTAGAATCAGGTAACAACAACAGTAACCGAAACAATTTTTAGATAGAACATTAGAAGACTTGACTTATCTAGGGACTGGAACATGGATAGGATATATTAAAAATTCGGAAAGGAATTTGAAAGGTTTACGAATCGTTTATCAGTGGATACTGACACCCTCAGTATTTGTTTACCTTAGGAAATGAACATTGAAATCGCAGCATTCCTCAGTTTCAGCAATTAATGGACTGAGTGTGATATAAAATTAGCATACGGGATAATTCACATGAAACAGGCGAAATAGTAACTTGATCATTAGATAAATTCGATAGTTTCTTCCTTCAGGGTTAACACTATTTTATGACATCTGAGATTTTATCGTATGCTGGACTAGGTTCTAGATATGACTTGACAGTGTTGAGGTTTATTGAGATTGCTCTAGGTCGGATAAGCAAATTGAACTGGACATTATTGACAGAAACCTCTGCTATCTTCCCATTAATATCTACTGTGGTGTTTCGTATGGCTCCTTTTGGTACTACAGAATGTATTGTTGTTTCGTTGGTGATACTGACCTGAAGTTTTTATATCAACCGTTGTGGTTTTTACACAATTTCATTTGTTGAAGAATATAGGCAAGCATTTGAGTTATTAGGAAACAACAAACCATACAACAATGAAACTTGATACTGAAATTCTATTGAATTTTAGGATTTTCTTAAAAGTCATTCTATCTTACTCTGTAGTTCATCAGAAGGATTTTCCACAACGTTTTTTTTTAAACAAAATGAACGATACTACTCTTTTATCAAAAAGGGTTTGATAAAGTTGACTGTATTATATAAGGAGTATCTTATGTTTTAAAACAAGGTATCTTTCGAATCAAACTATTCTCCAACAATTAATTTGTTAAGTTTAATTTTTTAGGAAGAATAGTTCTGGGTCAACAAATAACACTGACGATTTCTATGAGTATATACTTGAATAAATCGACAAATATATTCAATATACACCCAAACTTTATTTAGAAACTTAAAATTCTCTCTTTTACATCATAGTAAAATGAAATAGAATCGAATTTCATATCAATTAAACTTAGTAGAAATGCTAATTGTAGAACAGGTTTTCAATAATAATATTTGCTGTTTTAAAAGGTAAATTCCTTACGATTATAGTACCTGATCCCTATGACTCTTTCATGAATACATTTATTGATTACAAGTTCAATAATGCTTTGCTTATCATGATTCAATTTTATGTATCTTGTATCTATGTGTATAATGGAGTTTTATTGCTAAGTAATATACCCGATACAAGACACTAATTTAAATGCTTTATTAGATGATTATTTTTTTTTGTTTGAGAATGTTTTGATATTCATTAATTAGTTAGATAATATGGAATTACTCTTCATGTTCCTTATTTATAATTTTATTTGATTCATTTTTACCAATTAATTTAAAAGAATATACTTCCTCAGAACTACCATTACTATTACTATTATTATTATTATTATTATGATCATTATCGTTATACCTGATTGCTGATGTTAGCTGATATGAGAGTATAATTTAGTGTAATATCTTTGACTATCTAAAGAATGAGTGAATATTATTATTTCTAATAATCACATTTCATTCATCAGTAGTATAAGCACACAAATGCGTTTAAAGTTCGTATAAATTTATCTTAGTAGATGGGAGAGATTATTGTTTTTCCTCGTTTGTTTGTTTTATATTGAATGATGTATTTTATTCGCTTTTTCTTTGATGAGAAAGTTGTGGAAAACTGAATAAAAAGAAAGAATTTGACTTGGTTTCTTTTTTATTTACATATATTTTTATACAAACAAAGACAGACTGCCTGAATCCGCCAAATCTATGTGTATCTATCGTTTCAACTGCTCCTGTGGAGCCAGTTACATAGGGCGTACAATTCAGCAAGTCCGTCATCGCATTACTAAACATCATCCGTCGTGGTTAAACAAAGGACAGGTAAAAGTGATTAAAAGTTTTATTCTCTCTCACTTGGTTGACACAGGTCATCAAGTCGAATTGAATAAAGCTTTTAAGGTTATCTACAATATCCCATCAAATTTGCCACATGATTTACGAGTGCGCCTCTTGCACATTGCGGAAGCCATCGCAATCCATGTTCACAAACCTGACCTTTGCATTCAAAAGAGATTCGTACAACCACTTTCTCTACCCTAGCCTTCAGTATAAAATTTCCGTCAGAAGAACTATTTTTCATGCTTCTTCCATTTTTTATTTTAATTTTAAATTTTTGTAATTTTGTTCCTATCGCTTTTGAGCCTTATAACTTCTCAACATTCATCTCTTGATTCTTATGTAACTACTATCCTATTGACCATCCGGTAAAATTCTATTCCTTCTTTGTTTCTTATATTACGCAACATAGCAACTTCTTGATTACTTTGAATATTAATAATCCTCTTCCAATTACTCAATGTTAATTTAAATGTCATTATGTAATTATTACGTAACGTACCCACTCGATGAGTATTATATTATTATTGTAAAACATATATATATATTAGTGTAGAGCCATGATGAAAAACTAATTGAAAAGAAATTTCTTCGCTCAATTCGTTCCTTCATTAAATTTTTATTTATTAATTATAGTCAACTAATCTTATCATTAATTCTCACCATCATCATCAACTACTTTGTCTCATTATTTTGACTGGGCACTTATAAGAAATGGAACATTGTGGTTTAAGATTGATTCGACTATCATAAATTAATAAACAAATATTTTAAGATAATAAAGTCTTACCCATTAAAATAGAATAATTCATAACTATAGTTAATTTTACTATGATACTATTTCTGTCTGTTTTATTTTTCCTACATAGAGAATGTTAACATTAACTTAGAAACTAAATAGAAGTACACTGTTCTATGATGTTAATTAACTATGGTAAACAATTTTTTGTTGCTATGTTTATATTTGGTGAACTTTAAGAATTATGCTCACTTATTAAACTATATAATAATATAAAATGTTCCAAATGTAATATATACACTTTCGAACTATTTAATATCTGAAATGTAGTTGAGCAATTGATAGAAATTAATTCGATTTAAAGATACCCTTATTCACAGATTGATATCAACTGGATAACCATTCTACATCAAAAATCAATAAGAAGCTATCTTTCTTTTAAATTTTAATTTCCCTTCATAATCCTCATCCACAGCCGTACACAGAATCGAACACAGAGACTTAGGGTCTCACACAACATATACAAATCAAAAACATTTAACAGTCAAGAATACATATATATGTGTTCATTGCTCTCTAGCTTATTATGAATTTCCCAAAGCAGAAAAAGTGAACTCAAATTTATTGTAAATACTTAAAGCATTAAATAATACCATATATAAGACTTTTATATGAAAGGCTAGAAAGAAGATAATTCAGTTAACATTATCAGATTGGCATAGTTTGCTTTAAGAGTTTTTCTTTTCTTTTCTTTTAAACAGAAACTCAAGAAGATGAAAATAATGAATTAGATTTTCATTCACTTTCTCGTAGTAAACATCATATGAATTTACCATATTTGAATTACTTTTCAACAGATCATACAGTTAAACAACACAAATTAGTATTTCAATTAGCGGATATACCTTCAAATGAAAAATTAGTTGCAGCAAGTATACGTATAAGATATGAAGCGAAAATGTATTCAAAAAATTATACAATTCCAACAGAATTTACTCCATTTTGTATAAATACTACTATTAATAGTGAAATAAATAGTACATCATTCTATTGGCCATTATCATTATGGTTACATTCAGATCAAAATAATATCAGTAATGTAGATATACAAACTGCAGCAATTTTTGAACCAGATAATACACATTGTATATTACAGAAATCAGGAAAAAATTCATCTATCATGAATTTACCTAATGGATGGTTTCATATACCATTGAGTCAACCAGTTTTACATTTAATAGAACAAATCAATGAACAAACTGATGCTAATAAACAAATTGTTATACAAATTCGTTCAGTAGTTCGAAAAAACTTATCATTAACTGATGATTTTGATGCTACTGATAATAATCATAACAAAATTGAACAGTCTAACTTCTTGAAAATAAATAATCTAAATGAGAAGGATGAAAAGTCATTTGATTCCTCGTACTGGTTACATAATGCACCACATTTGTTTACATATCATCGTGATCCTAATTTAGCAAATATTTAAAACGAAAACCAAGATCAATCAATTACTCTCACAGTCAGCATACATATCGAAATGAACAAAATCATAATATTAATTTAAAGCCTCTAACTAATAATGTAAGTATTTATTTGTCAGTTAAAAGTTATTCAATCATTGATTTTAATATTCAATAACAGTTAACTACTAAATCTATGCTACTGTTGATTTTAATTTTGGAAACAGGTTTCATTTTAGTTAATATACATTTTATTTACAGTAGGTTTCAATGGACAGTACGAGTCATTATTAGTTTTCATGGAGACTTAAAGGATCAGTATATAACAAATTACTTCTTAGTTTTCATCACAGAATGATCCTAGTTAGGGAACCACTGGAAACTAGGTAACACTGCCCAATTATTTTGTGTTGGTATAGGATTTTTCAGCAGTGATCATTTACGACCCCACACAGGGTCATGAAGAGAGCCTAACCTTTACGCTACTCAGTTAGCATTCTGTGGTTTATATTTGTAGTTTAAGTTATTTATTATTTTTATATAATCTTCAAATGCGACTGGTGGGTATGAGGTATGCGCGGCCCAAATGTCCACTATTTTCTGATTTGCAGTGGCTGTATAACTATGGTTAGTCCAGAGAGTAAACTATGAAATTCAGTAATCTCAAACCCCACATGCGGAAAACAATTGTAGTGCAATTTATTTTAAGCTTGTAAATATTACAAATATGAATTTATTAGGTCATTTGGTTCTAATCAATTGGTTTGAAAAATCCTACTATTCTACTGACAAAAGTTTAGTTACGTGTAAGGTTCTATAAAGAACTCTAATTAAATAAAAGTGTTATTTTAAAGGTTTTTTAAACCACCAAGTAACATAAGTTTAAAAAAATAAAAAGTAAGTAGAATATACTAACTGTTTCGTCTTAGTTTTAAGTTTCCCACTATTACACAAGGAAGATATTACATACGGAATCTAATGAAGAACACTAAAGTAAAGTTGAGTGCTTGCTATCTAGCTTCAAAATAGATTTTTGTAAGTTTTGTTGTCGAGTCATAACCTATTCAGTTAACCCTATTCAGGATTTGAAACAGTATCATCTAATATTACATTACGACTTCCACTAAACTCCTTTTGTGCAGAGATATGTGCAGAGATAACTGATTAACTGTGAGTACCATTAGAATTCTATCGACCATTACACTGAAATAACAAACATAAAAATATCTAGACAAAACTGTTAATAAATGCAGTTAATCGAAACAAAGAATTCAGTCGATGAATATTATTGTGTGGACAAGATATACTAAGTGAACTGGATATCAGTGATTATAGTCTGAAGTTAAAAAAAGCACTACTAGAGACAATAAAGTAGGCTAATCATTCTAATAAAAAGATACGATAAAAGGTTAATTTAATGGCACTTATCACTAAAAATCATAATTTACTAAACCATAACATCATGCTATGAATAAACATGGTAAAATAATGTTATTGAGTCAAAGCACCACTTATTTATCTTAAGTATAGGGGATTTTTGGTTAATGTAGAATTTCCGAAGTTTCTATCACGAAATGATCTTGACCAGACGACTATTAAAAACCAAGGACAGATACTCTATTATAGTATGGGACTCCTCAGTAGTACATATTCGCAACATTACCATAAGAAATTAAAGCTAGAACCTTCGTGTTTGCTCAAAAACGTTTAATTTCAAGAACATTGAACCGTTCCAAAGGTATACATTTTTAACTTCATTCCGTTTACAATATTTCGTGCTGGCATTAAATAATTGTCTCACAACTAATATGATTGAACTCCACTAGTCACAACTTCTTACTACAAATCGGTAAATCGTTTCCTGAATCAAATCATTACTAAACACATGATTATTATCAGTATAGAAGATTAATGAAAATTGTGGTATTTTCATAGTTTAGATTATTTACTTGATTAAAAATGTCCATTAAATTACTAAACAAATTCTGAATTCCTTTTTGTTTTGTTAGTTCATTTCAATTGTTAACATTATAATAAAAGTCTATTAATAATATAATTCAATAAAAATGGTATAGAGGTGCTGGAGAAGATTTGTAGCTCATGTGGATGATTTTGATGAAATTTTGTTCTCTGAACAGGAGTTTGTACTGATAATATCGTTCATAAGAACGATGAAAGCTCCACAATCAAAACATCCAGCTCAGAGAACAAAACTCCATCAAATGGTATAAAGGTCTAAGAATAAACATATACTAGTAATATATGTATTGTCATTATTAATATGAGCCCATAAACTGAATAATAAAGAAACGAATCCCACTACATTTCAATTTCTAAAACAACAAATTGTTTTGTTTTATTTGGTATTGTTTTGTTTTAAAGCGGTTTCAATTCATTATCTCTATTAAATATGAGATAAATAAACTATTATTCTTTTCATTTTGACAATTGTATTTGTCATTATTTAAAATTAAAACACGCATAGATTATTGTCCATCAAGTGTTCTATAAGACTTGTGCAGATATTTATCATAAATTTATATTGGCATATAGTTGTTTTTTATTAATTTAAAAGTAAAATACTATGCATTGTCTTCTCGTCTAATTGTGTTTATAGGGAGATGAGTTTTTTTTTTCTAAAATTTATTTATTATTATAACAGATTGAACTGGCGCCCTTAACTATTAAACTTCATATTTATACCATTTGTTCGTAATGAGACTTTACTGAGTTAATTGGTTTCATATATATATATATATATATATATATAGATATATAGATATAGATGAAACCAACTAACTTAGTAGAATTTCATTGCAAACAAATGATAAAATCTTTTTTTCAAATAATAGATATTGAAAACGATAAGTAGTAAAGTATCATTCTTTATTTACCTCAACATTCCCTCAGGGTATAAATGTTTTGTCTCTTAATAATAGAATAAGTTCATTCATATAAAGCATATATACAAATAAATTTATGTCTATAAAGTAGTCTGTGGAGACCAATAATATATCCTATAACTATTAGGAAGATTTATTCACACTTTTCTTCAGTGGTGAAGAAAGTTCGATAAAATGTTTTAGTTCATAGAATAACTAAACTTGATAGTAACATTCTCACTTTCTTGGTATAAATTATCTTATGTCAATAATTCATTGTGTTTGTAGACTTAACTAATTATTCGCGAATTCTGTCACTATACGATGAGCGTGACTCTTTTTATTCTCTTTTTCCTTGCTGACTAATAAGAGTGGAAGTTTATATTTATATAGGTTTCTGGATGGAGACCCTTATAAAATTTAATCACATTCAAGATTATTCAAATTACACGTTGATTATATAATAACTAATAATTAAAGAATTTCATGAAACTAAGAAATTGTTAATGAACGTAAAATCACCTTGAATTAACCAGTATAATAAAAATCCACTGAAAGTTCACTGAAGGAAAATCATTTTTTAATCAATATGCGAATCCTAAGAGTGATTTTCTTTCTTACACACTGTACTTGAGGATTTTTCACCCAAAGTATTGTTGATATGTTGCTAATATTCGGTAATAAATTTCATTATTCTCTACTCATTGTAAGCCTCAATGTCCTTTGAAATTATATGTTAATTATATTTTGAATAGTTGTTAGCAGTGGATTTGAAGGTGTATGTTTTGTCACACTTGAGATCTGTCAGCTGGGAATGGAAATGCGTATTTATAGCTCGAAGCTCTATAGCTCTATACAATAGGTTACTGAGTCAAAACAGTCACTGAATAATTCATCTGGGGTAATGTTTACTATTAGTTCTAAGCTCTTGAATGTTTGCGTTATTTATTGTACTTTTTGTACTTTATTGTACTTTTGTAATTCTATTAGTTTTATTTAAATATCGGAATTATTTGGATTAATATCAAACGAAAATAGAGATAGCAAACTAAACTGGTTTTTGTGCTCCTTGAAATCCTTAAAACGTTATGGAAATTCATTGTTAATTACCTTAACTTTCCTACATCCGGAATAGTCAAATACATTAAAATAGTGCATATAATCAAGAAATCTAATTCACAAATTCAGTAATAAGTAACCTTTAACAACTTTGTAAACGATCAGAAATGATGCTTTAACTAAAGTTTTTAGTCTAGTTAAATTAATCAAATAATCAGTATCTAAGATCTATTAAATATGTCCCTTCAATATTATCTACTTGAATGTTGCTTCTAAATTGAAGTCATCGTAAATTATCTTATCGGGCAGATAATATTGATACAAATTTGATGTATCGCTCCATCTTACATCATACAACATTTAAGATTATTTGGGTCCCATTAAATAAATCACTGTCATTATAAGATTAGCTGTATTAGTTAATATATGCAACTAACATAATACATGTTCACCAAGTAGTTCGTAAAGTTGGCTTAGAGTCATATTAGTTTTAAGGTTAATGATACAAATGATATATTTACACTTGGATGAATGAAATGGGATTCTAATGTGTAACTAATTGTTCAAAAGTATTTTCATTGCTAAAATTGCTTACTCTAGTAATTCACCCAACAGTTGTTTGAGTTCCAGATGTTCTTCAGCTGTGAATATGCTGCTCTTGCTTTGTCGTTCAGCGCCTTCATATCTGCATCAGATCCACCATGCTCATGAACGATTCTGTCCAGATATGTGAGAGTTTTCACATCTTCCAAAGCTTCTCCGTCAAGTGTGACTGGATTGGTGCATGCTGTGTTGTATCGGAGAATCTTGCTTTTCCCTTTGTATATTTTGAGGCCTACTGCTGCTGAGGCTCCTGATACATTGGTCGTCTTCTCTTACATTTGTTGTTGCGTGTGTGATAGAAGACTCAGATTATCTGCGAAGTCTAGATCGTCCAGCTGCATCCTAGATGTTCATGGTATCCCATGCTCCCCTTCAGATGTTGACGTCTTCATGATTCAGTCGATCACCAGGAGAAAGAGAAAGGGTGAGAGTAAGCAATCTTGCCTGACACCGGTATTTACTTCGAACGAGTCTGTCGATTGTCCTCCATGCACGACGTTGCAGTTTAATCCATCATAGGAATTCGGTATGATACTGACTCTTTTCAGGCACGCCTTAGTGTCGAAGAAGGTTCCATAGTGTTGTCCTGTCCACGCTATCAAATGCTTTCTCGTAGTCAATGAAGTTGATGTAGAGTGATGAATTCCATTCACTTGATTGCTCCACATTGATCCGTAGTGTTGTGATTTGGTCTGTACATGATCGATCCTTACGAAATCCAGCCTGTTGGTCTCGAAGTTGGCGTCTACGGAGTCCTTCACTCTTTTTAACAATACCCTGTTGGAGAATTTTCCTGGTATTGAGAGAAAAGTAATGCCCCTGTAGTTACCACAGTTGCTGAGATCGCCTTTCTTTGGTATCTTGATAAGGTGTCCTTCTTACAAGTCTGCTGGTACTATTTTTTCATTCCAAATCTTGATGAAGAGAATGTGGTGTATCTTTGTAGTTACTACTACATCCGCTTCCAGTGCCTCTGCTGGAATGTTGTCTGATCCTGCTACTTTGCCGCTCTTGATTTGTCTGATGGCTATGCTGATCTCTTCAATTATTGGTGGGCCAACATCAACTGAGAGATCCGTGAACTATGAACAGTACCACAAATCTAAAAATTGTAAAGCAAAGAAAACAGTTTTGTGTATGAACCGAAAATGTAGACTTAAAGTTATTCATTTACATATTCCTGTATAAATTGACTTGTTTTTCAATGATATAGCGTTTACTATATGAAATTTATTGACTTAGTCACAAAATATACAGACCATTTTCAAAATTTTGAATAGAAGTAATCCCTACTACTCTGGAAAATAAATACCGATGACAGGATCGCATAATTTTAATTTCAATGTGCTTTGAATCATTTCTATGGGAAACTAATAAATTTTTCTCATATTTAATGCTTTTGACACTAAAAGACAATTTACCCAGTCAACTTAATTAATTGAAAGGTATTCATGGGACAGTTTTTCCGAAGAGGTAATGTAATTTAATAAGTAGATGCTATACCTATATTTGTGCTTTCCATTTCCTGAATAAAACGATATTTAGTCTTGTTTGTTCATAAAGGGTGAAATTTTCAATGACACTGATGTGAACAAAATCTAGATTTTACTTCATAAACATGTTGGTATTTGACTGTTGAAAGTAAAATTTTCAAAAAAAAATTTATTTTACAACTATCTTTACCCCTACTAGCACCAGCTATCAGTTTTACAAATAATACACTTCTAAGTATTTAATCTGTAAACAATATGAAATCTACCATTTCCTAAATGACCGATACAGGCTAATTTAATAATAACTTACGTGAGATAATGAACCGATTGATGTTAGACCACTATGGAAAACCTCGAAGCGCTGAAGTGCCGATTCTTCATAGTATGGGACTCCTCAAAAGTGCTCATTCACAACTCTGCACGCTGAATCTGAACCCACCACCTTCGGTCTTGAACGCGAACATTTAACTTCTAGACCATTCAGTCGACATTCAGCAGTGTTGATGTTTAACTTCAATCGATCCACAATGTTGCGCGATCGTCCTCCATTGTTTTCAGTGAGTAACTGCCTTACACTAGACACGCATGTACTCCACTGGTCATTGCTTCTCATCACAACTCTAGGGAATCCATCTTGAAGTTAGTCCGTAGTGAGTACATGATAATTATCAGTATATGGTTGTGAAGTCCTATGCTAGGACAAAACGGCTGTCCAATGCTCTCAGGTTTTCAATGATGGTCTAACATCGATCAGTTCATGATCCCAGTTACAAATCAACAATCGCCACAACTCTATGCTAACAATTTACATATATATGCAATCTATTGAATATTTTAATACAACATTTTTAGATTGACAAATGCAGATCGTGAACAAAAAGTCAATGAAAACTCTTGTTCATTCAAAAATATCTTTTGTTTTAAAATATTGAATGATGACTTTGAAATCGAAATTATTAAGAGTTAATATTTCTCGTTTTTTTTTAAAAAAATTTCTCATTTTCTTTACTACAGGCAAGCAATAAAAAAATTGCTAAACGTTATAAACGTTTACAACGAATACTCAATGCACAGTTAAAACAACAACAACAACGAAAAAGTGAATCTAATCAACAAAGTGTTCAACGTAACAAACAAAATTACATTAAACAAAGATCACGTCGTTTAGCGCAATATCAACGTCGTCATAATCGTGCAAGTCAAGATCGTTATTATTATAGTGATTTAGATTCAACAAATGAAATAGTTGAAGATCATGATATGAATGAAGATATTTCATCACATCGTAAAATAACACATAATTCATATGATAATAATAGAGAAAATCATCATTCGCAACAACAACAACAACATCAACATCAACAATATCGATATGATATAACAAAATCTTATTCAAATGTATTACAAACAAATAATCATCATTATTTAGATACAACATGTCAAAGACGTGAATTAATAATCAATTTTGATGCCGTTGGTTGGGCTGGTTGGGTTATTGCACCACAAGCATATAATGCACGTTATTGTTTAGGTCAATGTCCATTTCCATTATCAACTCATTATAATACAACTAATCATGCTGTACTTCTTCAATTAGTACATTTATTAGATGTAGCTAGAATTTCTGGTCCTTGTTGTGTACCACATCAATTATCATCACAATCATTATTATATCATAGTCAAAATGGTGATGTTGTACTTAGAGTTTATGAAGATATGGTTGTAGAAAGTTGTGCTTGTCGTTAATATAAAAAAAGAATACTGAATTACTATTAGTAATATCATTTCGATCTGAAAAAAAATTATTCACAAAATTCATTATTCATTGTAATATTATATTAAATATAGTAATGAACATTGTTATATAATGAAAATATGAACACTTTTTTAAAAATTCATTTAACTTCATAAGTTTTCTTTTCTAATAACAAACAATCAATTATTGATCTACTCTATCGTTTTTTCTTTTTCTTTTCTTTATTTTTTTCTTTCAAAATAACTCTCATCATTAATAAATGATTATACATAAATCGTATAACAAGTTCATATATATATATATATATATATATATATATATATATATATAATCATTTGTTTTAATGTATCCTAATATATGACCTTGAACATTGACCTTAAAAATGATTTTTTTTTGAAAAAAAACAACATTTAGTATATAATGAATTTGATTATAATTGATCAAACTATTTATTATTACATTAATATATATACACTTTGTACAATTTTCTTATCAATGAATATTCAATATTCAATCTATTTGACAATTATTATATATGTATAATTTACTTAAATATAACTATCTATATATTTTATTATTTAAAGTGTATTCTATATTTATTTATTAAGTAATTTATATAAATCAAGATAGTTCATATATGAAATTTCATAACACACTATTGTTCATCTGTTATCAAGATTTCACAGATTGACATCATGAGTCAATTGAAGCTAGACCACCATGGAAAGCCTGGAAGCACTGGACGGCCGTTTCGTCATAGTATGGGACTCCTCAGCAGTGCACGTCCACGATCCCACACCCCACGATATTCAAACCCAGGACCTAGTGGTTTCGCGCGCGAGCATTTTACCACTAGACCACTGAGCCGGCATCCAACAACGTTAATATCTAACTTCAACCAATCCACGAAGTTGCGCCACCGTACACCATTGTCTTCAGTGAGCTGATATCTCACAACAGACCTGGTTGAACTCCACTGGTCATGGCTTCTCACTAGAACTCCAGGCGTATCTCTTGAAGTCAGTCACTAGTGAGCAGATGATTATTATCAGAGGGGGTTTGTGGAGATTTTAGAAATTTCACAGATTGAAGTCATGAGTCAATCAAAGCCACGTTTTCCATGGTGCTCTAGCTTCAATTGACTCATGATTTCAATCTGTGAAATTTCTAAAATCTCCACAAACCCCTTCTGATTATTATCAAGATGATGAATATATTCCAAGGCAATAGAAGTTTAGTATTCAAATGTATTGAATTCTATAGACAAAACACGTCATGTTTTTTTTCTTTTTAAAAAAGAGCTGTTCATCTTTATATCTCTACGTACTGATTAATTCACTTGTTAAGTCGTGATTTACATTTGGTTTTTATAATTTTTTTATAATTATAACAGGTCTTTTTATTATCATGAGTTCATAATGATAAACTATCTAACAACCTTATGTCATTCTTAAGTTTATTTATTAATTTAAACACAAATATTTTTACAAACAGGTACCAAATAGATATGCGTCACATAAATCATTCGATTTGTGTGACGGAGGAGATACTGTTCGGGTGTCCAAACTGAAGCAGATAGTTTCCTTAGGGAGTCACATCCGGAGTCTTCGATCTAAAGGTCTGATCCAAAAGGCAGTGGAACAACGTAAGGAGATGCAGTCCCATGGTAGATGGTGACCAATAATTGGTTCATGCGCCATTTTTTCTTTCAGGATACTGGAGCCCATGTGCACCATTGGCTTGAAATCAGGATTTTCAACTTCCCTAGGTGGACTCTCTATGTCCATCAACCCGGTTAAAGCACCGGACATTCGCTTTTCATCCTCTCAATTTCGTAAACAACACCCCGGCCACGAGAAGGGAGTGAGTAGGACTTCCCTGGCAATGGTTGTATCCACGTGGTCATGTGAGAGCATTTCGAGAGGGAGAGCTGACTCTCCCCAATCTCGGCCATACTAGGGTATTTGGGGGCAATTCTAAAGTTTACAGTTCATATGAATCAGTTTGTCAATTTTTCTATTATTACCAGTTAACTTTATTCATTAAAACAAAGGAATTAACGTATAATCATAGAAAACAAAATATTTATAGATAAAATGTGTATACCAACCAATTTAATCAATTTTACTCGGTAAAATTCAAAGAAACTAAGATTAATCAATTAATTCTATCTTCTATCTTAGTTTACATTTATGTTTATGAATCAAATGAGGCGATTATCAAAAATGTTTATCTACTTTATCCGTTTTTAACCACCAACAGTTTGTTGAATATAAAAGTTGAGTACATACATTCTTGAAATAATATCCTTCTAAACATTTCATAAGATAACATTTAAAAAAATGAAATATTCGAAAATGAAAATAATAAACGTATTATTATTGACTCATGAATTGAACTACTAAATTACTACAATATCTACTATAATCATCATATACTCACTAGTGACGGTCCCCAAGAGGTATTTCCTGAAGTGACCAGTGAAGTTCGGCCGGGTTTGTTGTGAGATAGTAACTCACTGAAACAATGGTAGACGGTGACGAAATTTCGTGAATTAGTTGAAGTTAGACATTAACATCGTTGGATGCCGTCCGGTTCAGTGGTGTATAGGCTAGGCGTTCGTGCGCAAGACCGATAGCTCCTGGGTTCGAACCTCGCTGGGTGGGATCGTCAATGCTCGCTGCTGAGGAGTCCCGTACTGAGACGAAACGGCCATCCAGTGCTTCCAGGTTTTCCATAGCGGTTAAGCTTATGAATTCAACTACTAAATTATTTTCATGTACTAAACAAAAGCATGAACTCATTTGAACAGATACAAATTAGTTACAGTTGATTGATCACTGGATGGTGATCAATGTCATGTGTGTCAAGTCCCCATTTAGTGCAGATTGAATACTATCGAACATGTTGCAATGTGGCCACCAGTCTAGGTGACTCGACACTGCGTGCGCTATATATTGAGATCAGATGGTGGTTGGAGGTAGTCGACTGGGTTCGAATCTTGCTGGGTGGGATCGTCAGTGCATGTACTAAACAAAAATGTGAACTCATTTGAACAGATACAAATTAATTACCTTCTAAAATGTCATTTGTCTAGTTTTATAAACTTGTATTTTAATAGTATAGTTATAAATAATATAATAAGAGCATTCTATGAATTAGACTAAAATGTATTCACTACAATTAAAATTAATTTCCTAATATAAGTTTTAATTTGCTTCAATTAAATTTTAAAGTATAACTTCCTATGTCTATGAAATTTTTTTACCCATTATTTTATGCTTATTACCTTGAAAATGGTTTAATGATTATAAAAGAGTTGAATAAATTGATTCCTTTAGAAACAATATAATTAATAGTTAGTAATGACATTTCCTAGACTATTCACTATACAATGTTAATAAAATCATTTTAAACTTGTAATGTTTATTTCATAATGGACTGTTAAGATTAAAATGTTAAAATTTCCTACTTTTATTTTTCTTAGCGATATTTATTTCTAGATTATATCTATTTATTTAATTAATCATTTATGGAGAATGTAGTATTGTAACAGTTGAATTCACAAGTCAGTTTAAACTAGACCATCATTAAAAACCTGGAAGCACTAGACAGTTGTTTTGTTGTAGTATGAGACTCTTCGGCAGTGCACATCTACGATCCTGCACGCGGGATTAGGATTCAGGACCTTCAGTCACGTGCGCAAACGTCTAAACTCTATGCTACTGAGACAGCATCGAATGATGTTAATGTTTAACTTCAGTAGATCCATGATTTTTTGTAACCGTCTATGCATGCGATCAACTTTATTGCTAAGGATATAACTTAGTAACACTGTGTTGTGATAAGTACAGTAATTAGCTGTTCATTCTGAAACATATTCAAGAAACTCAAGATGAGAATGAATAGGACTAACCATATGATATTCTTTCCTTTTTAGTTTTTTTTTTAATTCTTTGTTTATAAATGAACAACATCGTGAGATTTATCTACTTTTACGAGTTTATTTTGGCAAACTAAGTTATCAGAAGGAAAATATTTAAAAGTATATATTATGCTAATGAAATGGATGTGTCTTTACCGAGGTTAAATACTTTTTTGGAAAAATTCTTAGCTCCAACTTTCAGAAGTCATGCATAGAGTTTAAGCATCAGAATTAACTTATATCTGATTGTTTGTTCCCAATGGTTTTATAGCATGAGTATGGTTTGTAGGTATTTTGTTATTGATTAGCGTAAATTTGTGATGTATATATGTTGTATAAAATGAATGCACAAGCTAACTTGGATGGTACTTTATTTTACATTAAGGTATTCAAAATTGTTCAAATGATCATAAAACTGACTTAGATACTAAATATTTACCAAGTTGAATCTGTTATAAATAATGATGTCAATAAACCACGAGACTTTTACAAACAGTTTTCAATTGTTATACTACATAATTATAACTAAATTTTAAATAATGTTATTCGAAAGCAAATAATCAAAAGCCAACTATGACTAAAAACACAGGTGAATTATATATACCAACTATGGTTTGTGACTGAAACATTTGGTACTTTTTGGCTTAAAACCATGAATGATACAATACAAGCAACACGATAGATGAGAATTTATTATAAATTAAAACCAAATCAAAACGATACCTAACTACAATAATTTTTACATGATATAATTTACTGAAACATAATCAGTTGAATCCACAAAAAATTATTATTGTTATATCTAGAGCTTAGATGCTTGATATACTGCATACAACTTGAGCACTCAAAAGCTAGAATCCTCCAAGTTCTAAATGAGAAGATAGAAGACAAACAAAAAGGAATGCTATTTCAAACAGTGCCAAATATGGTAGAAAACTCTCAGGTATTTATAGTTTTTAGTAAAAGTGAAATCATCATTATAGTTATCTAATCCGCATACAGTGATTCTTAGCATTTGTCAAATAAAGGAGCTACACGTCGATATTCTGGAATGTTCTTCTGAAAGATGATTTGATGAAATATCTTCGGCTCTTTCTGAGTTTCTTAGAGCTTCCTCCAGTTCATCCGTAAGCCATCTTCACAATTATAAAAACCAATCGCATGAAAATCACATCAAGAAATCATTACATAATCTTACAATTTTCTCCTGTTTTATAAAATATGTTATAGTTATAAAAAATAATATATTTATATTGATCCTAATAGGTAGAAAAATTAGATTTTATGATGTTTCGTAACTAAGAGTAAGGCAGTTCTTT